GGGTGCTCCAGGCTGTGGAGATGCTGTGGCGGTGCTGTCAGCCTGCTGGGTTATTTTTGGCTGAAGGAGCTGAACGCCGGGGAAAGAGGAAGAGAGAGGGTGCTGGGGGGGTGACTGCACGCGTGGCCCCTCCACGTGCCGTCGCCCTGCTCTGCCCCACTGCCCACCCTCACACGGGCAGGCCGGGATGGCAGCGTCACCACAAGGCACCGCTAGCAAAGGGTGCCCCATAGAGGGGATGCAATGGGGGCGCCCTCCCCCTGGTTGCGCTGGGATGCTGGGGAGTGGTGCTGCTGAACACCGACCGTATCCCATGTACCTCCCAACCCAGGTCATTTATAAGAAGTTCCAGGTCCCCTGCCCGCTCCCTGAGCAGGAGGTGAACCTCACGGGCAGCCTCAATGCCACCCTCATCAGCACCAGTGACTACCAGAACGGCTACACCGTCCTCCAGGATCCCGAGCAGGACACCTGCACCCCCAGCTTCTTCACCCTTAACTCCCAGGTAGGGGCCTGGGATGCACCCTGGGGGCTCTGGGTGAGCCCCCACCCCATGCACGCCACAAAGGTGAGTGGTCCTGGTGCTGATGGCACCCGCTGGCTTGGCCCTCGGCACTCAGCCACCATCCCCTCATGCAGACGGCGTACACCATCCCCATCATGGCCTTTGCCTTCGTCTGCCACCCCGAGGTCCTGCCCATCTACACCGAGCTGAAGGAGTGAGTCCTGGGTGGGGGCACCCACAGGGGAGGTGGGCTTTGTCTGACACCCACCCAAAGGCAGCACCCTCCAAGTGCTGGACTGTTGTGGGGATATGAGGGAATATGGTGGGTGATACAACCCTGGGTGGGTGGTGGGTGATAGGACATGGGATGGGTGATAGGACATGGGATGGGTGATACCAGTCCTGGGAGGTGGGTGATGCAATCTGGAATGGGTGGGTGGGCGGTGGGTGTTATGACCAAGGGTGGGTGGTGGTGGTTGATCTGACCCACCTTGCAGCTCAGGGCAGGGATGCAGACCCAGGGGTGCTCCGGCATCCTCCCTCCTTGCCAGATGGGTGTTTGATGCTGGTGGGTGCTGTGGGAGCGGGGTGGGCTGGACCACGGGGGCTGTGCTGAGCCCGCTGTCTCCTGCAGCCCCTCCAAGAAGAAGATGCAGTGCATCTCCAACATCTCCATCATGGTCATGTACCTCATGTACTTTTTGGCTGCCCTCTTCGGCTATCTCACGTTCTATGGTGAGCCTTTGGGGAGAGGGCCGGGGGCCCTGCTGGTGCTGGGGCGGTGGCAGTGCCAGGGCTGACTCCCACTGATGCCCACAGGCCGCGTGGAGTCGGAGCTGCTGCACACGTACAACAAGGTGGACCCCTTCGACGTGCTCATCCTGTGCGTGCGGGTGGCTGTGCTGACAGCTGTCACCCTCACCGTCCCCATCGTCCTCTTCCCAGTGAGTGGGCCCACAGGGATACCAAGTGGCACTGCCACCCCTGGCTGCCACAGGTCTTCAGCACCGGACTTTGAGAGGGGAAACTGAGGCATCAATGGAGCTGAGGCCCGGAGATGGGGGGGCAGGGATTAGCAGGGCTGCAGGGATAAGGGAACAGCACTCACTGGGTATCAGAGGTAGGAGCGGAGGTGATGAGGACTCGCATGGCCATGGGGACAGGGCTGGAAAGGGGTGACAGAACCAGTGGTGCAATGGGGGCAGGGCTAGGGCAGGGCAAGGGGTGATGGGGACCATCAGGACTGCAGAGACAGGGGATGAGATAGGCCCTGGCTGCAAGGGTGGAGTGTGACACCCTGTCCCTGTCCCTGTCCCCAGGTGCGCCGGGCCATTCAGCAGATGCTGTTCCAAGGGAAGGACTTCAGCTGGGTCCGCCATGTCGTCATCGCCGTGGTCCTGCTGACCTTTATCAACCTGCTGGTCATCTTCGCCCCCTCCATCCTTGGCATCTTTGGCTTGATTGGTGCGTGGCAGTGCCCCACTCCTGTATCCTCCTCCGAGCGCTGACAGCCTACCAGCTCCTGCCTCTGTCTTGCACTGGGCTTTGCCTAAACTCCTGTGCCTCAGTTTCCCTTTCTCACTGTGCCAGCACCAGGCAGTGTGTGGGGGTCCTCAGCACTGTCCCTGTCCCAAACAGCTGGTTCCCAGGGGGTGCTGGCTGCTTACCTTGCTGCCAGCCAGCGCTTGTCTTTCCCCTGGGTGTTTCTCTTGATCCCCCAAGCCAGGCTCCCCTGCTCGGTGCCTGGCTCAGTGCCAAGGCCCTGGCTGCAGGAAAGGGCACATAGGGACGGTGCCAGGACACGGTGTCCCTGGGTTCCTGGAAGGCTTTGCCAGGGCCAGGGGTGGTGGTGGTGAGGCAGGACCTGGCCTGACAGCAGGGCTGAGCTGTGGGGTGGGGGCCTCTGCCCACTCTGTCCGTGTCTGCTTCAGGTGCCACCTCCGCTCCATGCCTCATCTTCATCTTCCCTGCCATCTTCTACATCCGCATCATGCCCAAGGACAAGGAGCCGCTGCGCTCTACACCCAAAATCTTGGTAAGCATGGGGAGGGGGGACATGGATGGGAGTCCAGGGGCTGGGCTGTGGACCCCATTGCCTTGGCTGTCCCTAACCCTCTTCCCTGTCCATGCAGGCTGCCTGCTTCGCCCTCCTTGGGGTGCTCTTCATGATCATGAGCTTGAGCTTCATCATCATTGTCAGCCACTAGCTGGCACCGGGCACCCATGCCAACCTCCTCCCCACTCACCGGTGCCCCAGGGAGAGCCGGCCCCGGGCTCAGCCCCTGTGCCACGGCCCCACCGGGCTTCCCTGGGGACCCTCTGCTGTTGCTGCCCATCACCAATGGTGG